GTTTACCCTGCGATCACCCACAGTTTTTGGTGGGGTTTGTGTTGCCTAGTCTTTAGTTTTCTATGTTGCTTCATCTGTACTATTATTTGTTTGTTTGTCTTTTTTATTTTTGGCCATGGCGTTGTCAGATCTATGAGTTTGACTGTCCCTCTGGTATCTTTCGTCCCTCTTTTAGGACATTTTTAAGCAATCACGACGCTTTGGTGTACACTTTTCAAAATATAACACAGAATGCATTTAGTTTTGAGATGTAGACAAGTTGTCAGTGAGATAGCATCGTAAGCGTCCCGAAAATAAATTGTTATTTAATGAGTATAATACTACTGACAGACGGGTTTTGTGTGCCGTAAATTCAAACTCTTCATATCAAGCAGAATATGTACTTGAACATGTTCCACATGTAGCACCCATCGTGTTCCTAATTTACATGTAAGTACAAACCCAGTGATAAGTCTAAATCGGTAGGTCTCATTCGGAGAAAACATTATTTGAACCCCATCGGGAAAACGTCTAAAGCAAATTTTGACATGCTTAGAACCCAGTCTTAACATTCGGAACTTTTCATGCTTATTTCGCAGGCAAAAATGTAAGAGACTGATGTGGTGCAGATTAAGGCAACAGTAGTTTACATATTTTTAAATCTCATATATCGATTGACAAGACAAACCAAAGTAACAAACATAAACTGAGGCAATCTAATATTCTCAATAAGAAGAGTTGGTTCGTCGATAGGATAAATGTCCCGTGCTATGAATGTTTCTCCAGCAAAGAGGAGAACAGTTGTTAATTGGCGTTTTTTAGAGCAAGTCTGTGATGTAGAACAGTGGATTTTCCCTACAAGTCATATTTTAGGTACAAAGGATCAATTAGTAAAGGTATCTATGTTTTACGTGTAGTTCTGTTTGTCCGTATCTATAACCAGAATAGAATTCATATGTATGTGAAAGAGAGACAGAAGATACCAGATGTATATTTAAGCATCACTAAAGATACATTTATTGTCGAAATACGGATCAGGGGCAGTAATGTTAAGGTAATTAAACCCATAAATCGAGGACAAACTGACAACGCATGGCAACAAAAACATGACCAAAACACAACATAGAACTCTAAAGACTCATAAATAATGCTTCCGTAGCGAGAAGATTTGCTGCTTATATTCCCGTAGTCGTCTTATAAATTTTCTTAAGAACGACTTTAAAAGAGAGGAGAAGGATACCAAAGTGACATATAAACTCATAAGTCGAAAATAAACTGACAACGCCATGGCTAAAAAAGAAAGAGACAAACAGACAAACAACAGTACACCAAACACAATATAGAAAACTAAAGACTGAGCAACACAAACCCAAACAGAAACTAGGGGTGATCTTAGGTGCACCGGAAGGGTCAGCAGATCCTGCTCCACATGTTGCTTATGTTAGTACAAACCCGGTGATAAGTCTTAATAGGTAGGTCACATTCGGGGAAAAGGGGACGGGATTGTAGTTACGACATATCAGTTGTCATCTGTTAAACAGATATTCCATAACGGTCAACCAACTCGTGATGGCGTCCGTAAAATTTACGAAGGGATGATTTCAAATTCCCCACTTGGAAATCTTAGTTTAATAGCTTCCATGTGAGCAGCAACCCTCTATCAAGGAAATCATGATAGGAAATACAAGCCCTGGAATATCGTATCGACAGGGAGATATATACTCCGTATGCAGGCGCTGCTGGAATGTTGCTGCATAGAAATGGAAAGTTCACAATTAGGAAACAAAATTCATCTTGTCGTAACTATGTTTCAACTCATGAGCCACATCTTTCCTCTTTGATTTTTTAGATACCAGAAAGGTTGTCATATCTGTAACTTGTTAGGTACTTTGTTCATTTTGACGTTTCGACTGATTGGCATGTCTGGTGATGCATGCATATCAGATGACACTTACTCGACACGACTGGTACCCTCCTATTAGAACTTTGTTGTAGTCTTTGTAGTTTATAAACTACAAAGCAATGAAGCAATGAATGTGGTTTTTAATTTGATAGATGCTTTTGTGTTTTTTTTTTGTAAATAATTGTTTGTTTTGATATTGTAACACAGTGATGACTGCTGTACCCATATTTTGACTATTTTATCTATAATGTCTGTTTTGTTCACGCATCGTTGTAAATATAACGGAATTTGATAAGACTGTCGTACAAGTGAGAGGTTTAGCGCTATAAAACCAGGTTCAATCCACCATTTTCTACATTTGAAAATGCCTGTACCAAGTCAGGAATATGACAGTTGTTGTCCATTCGTTTGATGTGTTTTGTCATTTGATTTTGCCATGTGATTAGGGACTTTCCGATTGAATTTTCCTCGGAGTTCAGTATTTTTGTGATTTTACTTTTTTTTTATATACTATTAATTTTTATTCGATTTTGAATGATCAGGGTTTTCTGCGTTGGTGTTTATATGCATAGTGTTGTATGTCACAAGTCTATTTGTTTACATTGATATAATTACATTAGATGTATGTTTCATTATTATACGTTATTTTGATTGGCTAACAGCAATCTCGCGTCATTCTTCATTTCAAAATGAATTGCATGAATTGAAACATACATGATGACACACGTTTCCACAATAAAGTGCACAGGTTAATTAAAGAAAAACTTGATAGTAATCGTGTTTTCATGATCATAGCGAAAAAATGTTATTATAAGTATTGAATGCTTCTTTTAGTAATTTCATAGGGTTGTAAAAGCTTCCGCGCTTCATACAAAATGTACTTCGGTCAACACTTTTACACCCCAATGAATTTACAAAAAGAAGCATTCAATTCTTCAATAAATGCTGTTTAGGCCAAAATAGAAAATTGTTTTATTAAAAGTCGAGCTTACTATGCATACAAATTTGTCACTCACTAGACATTAAGGAAACAATGATATTTGAATTTATTTCTGTAGAAACAAGAGTGATTTGTACAAAATGGATAACAAAAATCATCCAAGATATGCTTTTAATTCAATAAAGTGAAATTTGATTGATTGTTCGATTAAAAACAAGAAGATGTGGTATGATTGCCAATGAGACAACTCTCCACAAGAGACCAAATGATACAGAAATTAACAACTATAGGTCACCGTACGGCATTACCACCACATTCAGTACTATAAGCTGTTTCGTTGCAGTCAGTTTTTATCGGTGGAGGAAGCTGGAATGCCCGGTTAGAATCATTGACGTTCTGCAGGAAATCTGAAAATCCTCTTAAAATAAGATCGGAGTCTAGCACGTGCGGGGTTCGAACTCACGACATCAGTGTTGACAGGCTGGTGATACAGTAGTTGAACTACTTGGACCCTCGGCCACCGAATCCCCTTAATGAAATTTGAACAACATTGTGCAGAGTAAATGTTTTTTCGGTGGAAATGTTTAGATTTAGTCTGCATTCTTCTAGCACTTATATATAATTCAAAACTTATTTGTCAATAGAAAATAAAAAGATAACACAGAAATTTTGGGATGGGAACAACAGTGAATAAAGAAGAAGGGGACAGCAATTAAAAAGTGCTTGTTCTATGCTTGGTTTTTAATAAATGCCGGTATTTTTTACTATTTAGATGAATTTGGCTTTTTCTTTATTATAAGTTTGTCCTGTTTCTAGAAATTACGGTGCAAAGGGACGCTTTTTGTAGTTGTTGGATGTTTTAATACATTCGGTCGCATTGTACACGTTTTTCGTTTTTACGTACCTTTGCATTATTTCTAATTTCACCTTATAATAACCTTTTTCCAGCGATAAAATTATTTTATCTCTCTATGTTTCTGTCAATTTATTTTCATATCCTAACTAACTGCTTTGATGTTTAATTTGTCGCAGTTTTGAATGAGATATTCAAATTGAAACACACGTAATGTTACATATGTTTTGCAAAAACAAAAACAGTCAATTAATCAACAGTTCTGGATTGTTCGACTTTATACTTGCTTAAAACCCGTGTACAAGTTTATGTAAATATCAATCAGTTTGATCTAATTAACAAGGTTTTTACTAAAGTTATTTTCAGATACATACATGTATTTGTTTAGGGGCCAGCTGAAGGACGCCTCCGGGTGCGGGAGTTTCTCGCTGCATTGAAGACCCATTGGTGGCCTTCGGCTGTTGTCTGCTCTATGGTCGGGTTGTTGTCTTTTTGACACATTCCCCATTTCCATTCTCAATTTTATGTAATGGAATTTATAACATATCAGAGCACAGCAGTGATAAAACCTATTTTAAACAAAACGCAAACCCAATATTTAAGTCATTAAAGAATGATTCTACAAAACAATGGCAAAAGATACCAAGGGGACATTCAAAACTATTAGGTAGAAAAAGCTGACAACGTTAGGGCAAAAAACGAAAAACGAAGATAAGTCCACAAAAACACTAAAAATAAAAAAGTAAAGACTAAGCAACACAAATCCCATTATTAAACTGAGAGGATCAAATGTGCATCAGAAGAGTAAACAGATCCTGCTTGAATGATATTTACAGAAGTCTGGAAAACCTAGACAGAGTTATTAAGCTGTTGACATGAATTATCATTGATATGGTCATAAATATAAATTAACTGTTTATAAAACTTTGAATTTTTCGAAATACTAAGGATTTTCTACCCAGGAATACATTACAATTGATGTAACAAAACTTTTTGGAATTTTTGAAACCTCAATGCTCTGCAACATCGTACTTTATTTGGCCTTTTTAAATTTTTTGATTCGAGCGCAACTGGTGAGTCTTTTGATGACGAAACTCGTGTCTGGTGTAGAAAATTTTAATTCTGGTCTTTATGATGAGTTTATTTATCAACAACTACAGAATAATAATTATATGGTTTCCTTAAAAAATGAAATGTGGGATTATAATTGTCCGAAGGCAAAAGGTTGTAGATGAGTAGTCCAATCTATAAATAGTGTTATACAAAATTTGCATACATGAATATCGAGCTGATATAGCTTGGTAGGGATTAAAGCAAAAAGATAATAACAATTTAACTTCCTGTTTTATATTTACAGTAATATGCATAAGTGTAATAATAAATCAAACTCGTTGTCTGTTCTTGGTTTTTCTATAGAACTCACATGACGGTCCTCAATCTGAAATAAAAATAATACTGAAATAGGCGTGCATTCATAGTAAATTTATTGTGCAATCAAATGAATGTTCTCGTCTTCGTTCGTAGGTGGTGCATAAAAAGAATAATTGCTTGTTATGTCATAATTATAGTGAAATATTATGTATGGTCTTTTAGAACTTCTTCTCCCCACTCATCATTTTTTTTCCTGCAAAGATATGAATATGAAAGGACCGTATTCTTGCGACTCAAATTAATTAAGATAAACGTTCGTGATGTTTAAACATGTCAGTTGTGAACAAGTATGCGGGGATAGACAATCTCAAACTGTATATCATATATGCATCTAACGTAACTAAAAAATTGATTTCAAAGTAGATGTAATGACTTTAGATTTATTTGATTTGTGAATTGGATTCTTCATCAGAAAAATATACGATATATTTTGTCAAAATATAAAGTACAACAATTTAGAATATACTAACGATTTTTCGCATATGTAAGAATAACTATCATAACAGTTATCATCATTCCATTCATAGTTTAATCCATCAGATATGGTCAGACAATGCTCTATTTCATCCTGATTATTTGGTTCACGTATAGTACGTGTATGCCAATCAGTCTCAGCAAACCTCTCTCCACTAGTTATCCATATCCATTCACCTTCTTGAACCAGATCTGTACCACCAAGCCAAAAAGCTGAAAATATGTGTTTTAGAATAATATTTGTACTTAAATGATATATAAAATTTCATCAAAGATACCAGGCTTATAATTTTGTTAGCCAGACGAGCATTTTGTCTACAGAAGACTCATTAGTGGGCTTATATCAAAACAGTTGCAACGCTAGATTAAACATATACAGAATAATTGCACACGTCAAGTTCGTTAGCGTTATAGACCATATTTTGGTAAAGTAAATAATGTATGAGTTTAAAACAAAGAAAGTCTTGAAAATGACTCAAAACCCTGAAAATCACCAAAATATTATCTTATAACCTCAGTTTAATTACAGTTGCGTAATATTCTGAATGACATTTGTCTGCTTTGAATCATGACGGTACCGAAGCAAGGGCTACTGGCGAATGGAGAATGCTACCCTTTTTGGATTAACAGTTCAACAGTAACAGTATCCGCAATTGCTATTCGTCGTACGTTTATTATCAAAGAACTAAATAAAAGATATGATACACATTAGCTGTAGAACATTAAACTAATTAATCATCTGAACATTTGAATATTGATGGTACCGAAATGATTGCATATGGAATGATGGTCCACCAGCAGTGGCATCGACCATGTGATAATGTTATAAGGGTATGGTACTGATGTCAATGCGCACGACAAATGTTTCTAGAATTAACTTCATGACGTACGTTTTAACTGAAAGTAAATCCAGGAAAGCACTTCAGACACACAAAATCAATAAAGAGTTATTGTCATTTAATGAAATGTTTGAAATGTCAAATAAATAATACAAGATATATGCTACAATTTAAGTTTCTTTCGTGAGGTAATTGTTACTGCGATCTGTTAAAATATGGAGAAGTATCAAGTTGTCCAGTAACTCTCCATGTTTCATGTCTTTAGTTCCGGTTTACCCTCTTTGCAGAAGCTACCTGTTGGATTTATTTATAATTTGTGTTCGTATTTTATAGCATGAAATGTTTTCAAGTTTGCGTTGAACAAAAACCAACAATCCGTTAATCCAAAAGTGCACCCCCAACTGGGCAGATCGTTTCATTTTTTTATCATTTTATCTATATTTTGTTTTGATAAGTTTTCGTCAAGGACACATGAAGAATGTGCATGCAATATTTGCCGCTAGAATCTAATCAATCGACAATAAATCAAAAACTGTTTAATGATGGACTTATTAGAACGCAAATTGTTTAGAAAAGTTCAACCTAGCATGTATAGAAGGAAGCACATGTTCTGAAAGTTAAGGTATAACTTGTTTGCCAATTCACAGTAAAGTATTACATGCATCTTTAATTTAATATTCATTTCGAAATTTGAGAGCACTCCTAATATAAATATGTTCCGTCTTTCTTGGAAGATAATTTGAGTCATATCCATTTAACTTATAATAATTATTGTATGCACCCAGAATACTTGCGTTTTCCTGATCATCAATTAAAAGATAAAGATATTGCCATTTCTAACACAATGGCTTAAATCAAGGGAACGGCTACAAAAAAAGGAATACATTTGCAAATACTAGTGTACGCCATTGAACTCACTTGTCTACCAGGAGCAAATTAAATCCATAAAGAGGCTTTCGAGCTATAGGCCTTTTAACAGAACCTTGTAACAGATCATTAAAACAATGAGGTATACAATGTTTATATAAGAGCTCATCTGATCAATCAATATAGTAGTACCTACTCTTAGTGCCATTCTTGATTAAGTTTGTCTTTTTGGAGTCTTCATTAAAAAATCTTTAGAACGCAAGATGTTGGACCCCATTTTAGACAAGTTCACGATAACAAATAATATGCACTTATATCATTTCTGTGTCTTGGGTAAATATGTATATGTTCTATTCTTGTAGTTTGTATATTTGTTCCTTACGAGTGTAATTTTGCAATACATAATTATAAAGTTCGTGCTGTTTTCCATTTTAAGGTACATACTTTGCTTATTTCTTTTCGCATTTGTCTTTAGAAACGTTATCACATTTCTTGTTGTCGCTTCTGCAAGCTGACCTTTCAGCAATTTGCATTTCCTCTGAAAAATACAATTTGTAATGAACATGCTGAATTGAACGAAATATTCACAACTCAACGTAATGGCGGACATCTGTGTAAATTGAATTCATTTCACAGACAACTATAAGATAAATGGCAACCACAAAAAGACAAACGGACAAACAAAGACCATACAATGTTCAGGATTTCGACATTTGAATTTAAGATTGATCACAGAATTATGCACTCCTTAAAATTATCTCAGTGTCAATGGCGGTTTCTTGAATGTGACAGAACTAAACCTTGATCCTGCATCAAGGAAAACAAATTGTTTTAATACCGTTATCATATTTATCAATGCTATATATGTTTATTCTCGGAAACGTTGCCTTTTATTGAATTCAATAAAATATTCGTATTCTTCTTATTCTTAATTTTTAACAATTCAACATTTCGGAGATTTTAATAGGCTCATTATTTAAAAAAGCTTCAAAAGTTTTTGAGTTATCTTCCCTTATTTGGTAAGTAATGAAATCGGTTCTGACTAGTTACATATATTTAGATAAACCATTCGCTGATTGAGTTTCTCTTGTATAATTTCCCGCCATGTCAATTCGAAAATTGCACTTAAAATTTCCGTTATATTATCATACGAAAAGCAGAATCTATCAGTTTTACCCGTTGATAATTATATTTGTCTACTCTCGAAAGGTAAGCTTTTGAATGTCAATTTGGAATCTTTCGCCTCAAAATAAATATGATAACGATTTCGAATGATTAGCGGTTGCGTGGAAGAATTGATTTGTATCTTGACATACTTATATTAGCAAATCCATAGTTTACTGTATCTTATGTATTTATAATAGATTCCGAAAATTGTTTACTGTTGTTTTCAACTGCAGGATCAGGTTGATATACAGTTGTAATTAAACAAAAGAAAACTTTTATTTGAGAAGGTAAACATGGATAATTTGTTATATTTGAATTGTTGACATCTGTTTCTAGGGCCTGTGAAAGTTTAATGTAGGTGCATAATTTAGGATTTTTTGCATCTTATCTGAATGTTTGTACTCAAATCATAATATGGAGCTTAGAGATATATGTATAAACTGAAACTAAACACAAATTTTCACAAAACAGTCGATTGTGGAGGTGCAAATACTTTTGGATTTCTCATATGCAGAAGTATAAGTTTCATACAAAGAAATTCCCCAGAAAAATAATAGATTGATTTTTTCAAAGCAGTCCTCGGCAACTGCTTGTATACATATAATCCTGAAAATGGTCAATAATCTAACAAACAAAAAAAGTCGGGTACACCTTTTTACTTTCAGGTGTGTTTGAGTTGACTGTTTTGTGCTGAAGACGAATAAAGCAAAAATTTGGATAGGCCATCTTGCTTCCGATTCAATTATTGTAATATATTATGGCTACATTCTGGTAAAATTACATTTAAAATTCACAGTACTGAAAAATTAAAAATATGGTTCAAGTGAAATATTTTTCTATTGAGTGATAACAATAGAGTCGGAGTGTTTGGATGAAAATAATCTTCGTATATATTAATTCATGTTTTCGTTTTTCTTTTTCGTTTATTTTTCTTAAGATAAAAATTGAAGCATTATAATTATTTTATTCATGAAATGTACTAAAAAAAAAAGACGGTCACATCGCTCACAAGCACCCCCTTAAAATTTTACTATAAGCACATGACGACAGACTCTTAATAATGCATAATTAAAAAAAAAATCTTTTGTGTGTTTTATCTAGTGTAATTAGTCTTCAACTTCTGAAAATAGTTTGTCTGTCCTACAAATAAATATTCAAATAGATGTTTTTTTTTGTGTTTTTCAATTTTCATTTTCGGTTTTCAAGAGTTATATTGACAGTGCGTCATCCGTATAAATGGCTTTCATTTTTACGATTGAAAAACACAGGGTGGGGTAATGTGAGATAATTTCGACGAAATAGATTCTTAACTGGATAATGGCTTAAATTATTGTTTTCAAACGTATAATTGTAAAGTAAACAAATCATTACAACCTTGGCATCTCCCCAAGATGTTCTGGAAATGCTGAAGTAATAACAGTTGTTGCCATGCTTCTTCCAACCAATTTGACATAAAGGTTGAGCTGTTTAAAAATGCAATTCATTAAGAATTAAGAACAATATGTTATTGTCGACGGAACATGAAAATTGAACAGTCTTTTCCACAATCAGAGCACACTAAATAAAGGAATCTTAATAAAGAAATAAAATAGTAAGATATATGTGTGTTCATTAATTGCATAATGATATTTTTTCATAAGTTTTTGCTTGTCTCTAAAAACACATGCATTCGTATTGCCATTGTTTGTCATTATTACATTTAATGGCCATTACAAAGTAAAACATGTATAAGAAAACCTAGAAAAAGCACATTTTTATAGAACACTTAAAAACCTTGATTTGTCAAAAGATATCACATCGTGTGGGTTTATATATGTTATATGAGCCACTAAAATAGAAAAAAAAACTTAGAAAAATGCACGAGGGAGATACATTCCTTAATTCAAAATGATTTTCAAAATTTTAATAGAATTTTAATTTCAAGTGTGTATAAAACATTATCCGTTCCATATTTTCATAACAGTACCGACGCACTTGCTACTGGGCTTATAATACCCTTTGGATCTACAAAATGTAACAGTTACATTTAACCACCATTACTTTTGATATCGACTAGTTGGTAGTTATAACATGTATAACATAAACATTGAACTATTAATGTTTAAAATGATAAACATGTTCATTGCTCTTACCTGCATCTCTCCCTGGAATGGTCAATGCTATAACAAATAAAGAATAAAAACGAGGAATGGTATATTTATACAAATAAATTTTAAGGAATAGTGTGAATAGAATTAAAACAGGAAGTTAAGAATTGAAGCAAGCGTTTGTTTGTTTGTTTTCAATAGAACTTGTGAATGCATTATTGTTTTTGTCATATGTTGCACTTGACTACGGATATTGTTGTTCCAGCAGATAAACACTTACACACTATCATGGTTGCATGCTAAACTCATTGTTTGGTGTAACTAAACAACTTGAAATTCACAGTCAAATTGGAAACCCACATAATAGCTGCATCATTCACAAAAGAGGAGATTTTAGAAAAACACAGCTCAGTCCTTCTTTCCTTTGGTATATACATTAAAAAGGACGATATAATCTCCCGTCTTTAAATTGGATACCTAAACTTCAAAAAATTCCTTCTTAAGAACGATATATAGCCGAATTGTAAAGATATTGAACAAGACAGTATTCTTAAGTCTGAATCCCCAACCTTTCCGAACAAATAAAGAAAGACATATTGGGATGTGGTATATTCAACAGCGGTGTCATACTGATGTGAAATCTTAATTACAGTTGTTTTTAAGAACCAAGGCAGTGTGCGATAAATGAATGTTTCACCTTTTTTCTATAAATTGCATATGGCGAAGCAGAAGTTGAATAATGCTCAAAAACAAATGTGAGTGGAAAATATGAGTGGTTTTTCGTAACGGATACTCTAATTTATGTAGTTAAGTTTGGTAAAATCATTCAAAAACAGCTCAATCACTACAATTCAGAGCCTGATTATGAAAGGAATCAAATTTTTTCAAAAATGACCATAAATAGGATTGATATAACTCGGTTTAAATTTCGTTCTTGTTAAGATTGCAGTTGCAATTGAACCGTAAATTTAAAAAAAAAATATACTAAAAATGCATATTTTCAATTTTTCTGAATCATGGAATTTTGTGAAATTATCAATTTTTCTAGTCTGCAAATGTGCAGCACAGTAAGCATTGTAGTAATAAAGTGTAAGTTATACTTCTCCGCCCAATCATAAAAAAAAATGCGTGGGACTTGATTTTATCACCATAGCAAATAATTTTTCTGGTTTATTGCTTTATTTTTTAGCTTTATTTTTAATTCTGCAGTATAAGAGTATTAGTGTCCTAAATTGTTTCGAAACCATTTCGAAAATACATCAAAGCATACTCTAATTCTAGGTTACCATTGTAAATTTTTATTGAAAGCTACTGTTACCATGGAAACAAACATAACCCATAGCAACATCAATTCAAAGATATATTAATGGAATTTTAAATAAAATAAATACATTTGAAGATAATGTTTAATTTTCGAATGAAATGCTATGCTCTGTTTAACTCACTGTCTAGTATGTGCTTTGTTAGAAGGTGCAATAACATTGAAAAAAACAATTTGGCATGGAGATGGGGTGGGGTGGGGGGTTAAATCTTTCACAGATCCTTGCAAGAAAACTTGCTGCAACAGTTGGTCAGATATTTTTCAGTGTTCTCAATCAAATACTAGTAACCAATTTATGAAAGGTTAACAGATGATTGATTTAAAGGGATTGCAATAGCCCATCATGGCTTTTGGCAAGGTCCAGATAAATATTGAAATTATTGCTATAGCAATACAATGTCCTTTATGTTGTAAAAAAAAAGAAATTTTGGCAACATTCGCTATTTCATAAGGCAATAACTCTCTTAAACTTAATCACATCAGCAAGAAACTCAAATTTGAACTGTGACTTGTAATTATACGCTTACATACTAAAATAAGAAACATTTGGTAAAAGCATTCCCAAACTAAAACTGACGGACATACAGACAGACGGACATACAGACTAGTTGAAAACCTATAAAGTCGGCGGGGATCAAACAAAACAACAAATAATTCTTTTAACGAAAAAATGTTGGATTAAACCTGGTTTTATAGCTAGCTAAACCTCTCACTTGTATGACAGTTGCGTAAAATTCAATCATATTGACAACAATGTTTAAACAAAATAAACAGACATAAAAGGTAAAAAAAGTCCCTAAAAGGGGTACAGCAGTAAAATTAAAGTTTCTTATTATTGTATTTAAGGTAATTATATTCCTTTTAAGCAAAGAGATGCTTACACCAAACCCAGCTCCTCGTGTCTTTTTTTATGTTCTTGTGAGACTTTGTTTTGCCTCTGCTCTGTTTGTTTGGGTTTTTCTTTATGTATCATTACTACTTAATTTGTGATGTTTTTGTGTTTTGAAGTTCAGAACACTAGTTAAATTATATTTAATGCATTTAATGAGTGGAAATATGTCTGAATTGGTTATAAATATTTCAATACATTGGCTTTGAATCGATTTCAATCAAACCATTTACGTACAAATGATATGAAAGAAGCAAACCAGATATGATATTAAGTAACACACAAAATAAGTTACAGATCATCAAGTAGTGTTTTGCACTGCACTAGAATCTAGGTTTTCAACGTTATTTGTTCATCTTACCTTACTCTCCTCAAACGGATAAATGACTAAATTGGACGATATGATATTTTTGGGGGTGAATTTGAATCCGAAAAAAAAATACAAAATCACATTTTTCCCTTCCAAAAATATCATTTCAAATTTAGTCACTTATCCGTTTTAGGAGAGTAGGCTAACTATACAAATAAATTCATTGTTTATGAGCCTTTAATCACAGTTTATGTCGATTCATGAGAGGAATATAATCGATAACATTTCGGAAAATCGTTAAAAATCATCATTTAACAACCATAACTATTCTAAGGAGTCATTTGATAATTTTGATACAGTTGAGAGCATGTTAATCTGAACGTTGGGATTATTTTTTCTGTCAAATTTTCTGTATCTTTAATGGTTTTGAAGATATCATACAATAAGTGTTTAGGAAGTACAGCACTAATTCATGGCCTCATTGCGTTCTTTGTTAAATTCCTCAATTTCAAGCAGGCACAGATCTTTGTATTAGGTTCAACTCAAGTGACAGTCATTGCATGTCAAAGTGACACCTTATGGTGTCTTTTACTGAAACAATCAGGAACTATCTTGTGTTAAATATGTACTACTTTCTGCTATGTGCGTTCTGACCGGGCCCGAATTAGTGGTGTTACACCTTTAGAACTTTAAGACATGTCGATCATGCTTGTTTATGAAGCAGAATAAAATAAAAACACTTAATAAAATTGAGAATGGAAATGGGGAATGTGTCAAAGAGACAACAACCCAACCATAGAGCAGACAACAGCCGAAGGCCACCAATGGGTATTCAATGCAGCGAGAAACTCCCGCACCCGGAGGCGTCCTTCAGCTGGCCCCTAAACAAATATGTATACTAGTTATACACACCTTTGGAATCAATCATGTTAAGTTCGTATAAATTAAGTCAAATAGTTAAGAAGGGAAATTTTGAAACGAAATTACAGACGACGGTCAATGGGCCTTACGACATAGCTAGAGCTGCTGAAATTGGCCTTTTGTCAAATGAAATCAATACTCTACATTAGGAGGACTTGAAACATAAAGTCGTTGATACAGGCATGAAATATATTTTTAATTGTTTGTCACGGGTTAACAGTTATCTAAACACCCTGGATTTATTATTTTGCAACCTGATTTCAAATGCACTATTTTGCACTTGTTAAATATAATTCAATAATGCCAACACTAAATATATGTTAAAAGAGATCAGATAAAAGTAATAATCGAAACATACCAACGATAGAAAGCACCAAAGCTGTCAACAGTAGAAGCCTCATGTCTTCGAATGCAACCTAAACAAAATCATTTACTGATCAGTTGAAATGCGTTTCCTGTAATAATCATATTTAATAAACATATAAACCTAATTCATGTTTAGTAGTAAAGCGGAATATTCTCATTATTGTGTCATTTCTATAAACAGCGGTTTCTGTATTTATTCACAACTGTATATGAATTTAACTGTTTAGAGCTTGACATATTGTGTATACACCTGTCTATTGTTGAGAAATGTAGTTTTAACTCTGAGTGTTTTTGGTTATTTTTGTTGTTGGACTGCTGTTCCTTCTTTTTCTCATCTTGATGTCCTTATTATAATGAATATTAAAAACAGAAAAATATCAACCGTCAATAAACTATAAATAAACAAATAAAAGACGACATCACTGCCAATGGAAAAATAAGTAAATCAACTAAACATACTCATATTAACGTTTACTTGACATGAACCCACTAAAAACATGGCTTGTACAGTTTTAGTAGCATTGCCCTCACTATTTTATTGTTCGTCAAAAGACAAATTAAGAAAAGTGAAACCTACAATCAAGAGCGTGATTGCATTTTTTACTCTCAATGCACTCAAATTTTAGTTCTATTTATATAATTATGGAAAAAGACCTTATATTGGTACCAATGAATTATCGCTGACGAATTTAAAGTTTGATACAACTTTTGGCTATGTCTATTGTATAAATTCAATTGCACTTTCCAATTGTGAGTTTTCAATTTATATTGCATTATTTCAGTAGCACATACATATGGAATATATATCAATAAGATACGCAAATAAACAAACATATTTTTTTTAGTTTTTTCGTGAAAGGAATTTAAACACTTAGATACAGTGGCAAGGGTTCTGCATGGTTACAGCAAAGGGATTGCTGCTTAAGTTTAAACTGTATTATAATAGTATCCATTTAATTTGGTTTTGATTTATGTAGCAGTTGGCCTTGTATATATTGTATTCGTCCAGCCAATAAATTCGCAACTTATAATTGTGTGTGAATTTTTACCGAATGCATCTTGTAAAAGGTTTATTCTTATTGGAGCAGAAATATCTTAGCCTTCCGATGAACATGAGTTTACAATAATCGCTTTTCAAAGATATAAAATGTGGAGAAACAGAAAAGAACGATAAAATATGCAAAAACATGTATGCCAACTTACGGTACTCAACAATTACAATATACCAAGCTCTAAATTTGTCCCTCGTCCAGAAAAGTTCTACATATTTTTTAAATATACAAACAATATTAACTCATAACTCAGTACAATTTTTGATAAATACATTACTTTAGACAATACTTTGAAAAGCTAACGATGTTAAAACTATTGTTTACGTCATTGACCTTATCCCATCTCATTTGTCTTATATCGGACTTTTTGAATTAAGTGAAGAACGAACAATAAAAAAATCACTTTACGCAAGTTATTTACTTCTATAATACTGGAGAAATAGTCAACTAAAACACGGATATAAGAGGATGTTAACACAGTAAAAATATCCTTTCGGTTTCCTCGAATTTTTGGATTCCTGTGTTATTAACGTTTACCGTTGTGCAGTTTTCAAATGATTTCATTTTGTACTACAAAAATTAAGACAAGTTTATTTTAAATCTGTCCTGTACCGTTAATTGTTCAGTTACATAAGTTTTCCAAGACAACATGCAATATTGTTTCATACCCAGCTGTAAAACGGGTAGTATACTCCTTACTGATACCCTTTTCAAAGTAAATTGATCACCAAATGATATAATACACGTAATCATGAGGGAGGATCTGAATCTCACTATTCGTTATTTTGTACACATTATTGTGTATACTCTTTGACTGATTTTTGTCGCTGAAACACGGCAAAGATCTAAAGAACGACTGAATCATCAGCGGTCAAATGTTAATAACCCTAAGAACAATACATTTCTCTAAAAACACTTCCATCAACCAAACCATTCCATGTTGTCTACGAAAATCAGGATTATAAAGGAGATATTAAACACATGATCCCATATCGCTTACAGTCATTTCTGGGTTCGATACTCCTTATGGATGCACCGTTATACGTAGTTTATCAATTGTGTTGTTGTGCAATGGAAAATTTTTGTATTCTTGTCTTTCGTTTTTGTTAATGTGCTTTGTCTATATGCCTTTTTGTTTGTCTTTGTTGACATCTGTTATTCTCATCGGATTTTGTCAAATGTCTTATCGTTTTTAGTTGTAAATTTTATTTTTTTCTGTTCTATTCGTGTGTTACGGTAAAGATAATTAATCACCCAGTTCATTATAAGATTTTAGTTTGGGTCAACTTAATTTTTACGATGTATTTGGTTTACAGTTTGATTTAGAAGAAATACCGACATAGCTTGATAATACAATTAATTATCTAATTACTACCACAATTTTATATTAATACGTATTGTAATTTTCGTTGTTATTAATACATGTTATATCAGTATTACAAACCTAATCTTGAACTCTATCCTATTTTTTGGAAATTTATAGAAATTTAAATGTGACGTCACATTATGCATCGATTTCTTCGGCTAACATATAATACGTTGTTCGGCTGTGCCTTTTTTATGTGCTGATTTATTCTGTAGTTAGTCACCACATCGGTGTTAACATGTATATCTATTATATAGTCATTTTTATAAATTTACTGTTTGCAAAAGTATGAATCATTCTAAATACTAAGAATTTTCTTAACCCAGGCATATAACCTTAGCCGTATTTGGCACAACTTTTTGAAAATTTTGGTCCTCAATGCTCTTCAACTTTGTACTTGTTTAGCTTTCGAACTGTTTTGATCTGAGCGTCATTGAAGGGTCGTATGAAGATGAAACGCGCGTCTGGCGTATTAGATTATAAGCCTGGTACCTTTTGATAGCTTTTATTTGTGTGTGTCTCTGTCCTGCATGTTCTCCCATTTATTTGTATTGTAGTCCTGTCATGTAATCTTGTCATTTTAATGTTACATTTAACATTGCCATAAAAGCGGGAGGTTCGGCTAGCCACAAAACCAGGTTCAACCCACCATTTGTTCTTAAAATGTCCTGTACCAAGTCAGGACAATGGCCATTGTTATTTTATAGTTCGTTTCTGTGTGTGTTGCATTTTAGTGTTGAGTTTCTGTTGTGTCGTTGTTCTCCTCTTATATTTGATGTGTTTCCCTCAGTTTTAGTTTGTAACCCGGATTTGTTTTTTTCTAAATCGATTTATGAAATTCGAATAGCGGTATACTACTGTTGCCTTTATTTGACAGATTTGCTTGTTTTTGTAGTGATTAGGATTATAACACAATGTTGACTGCTGTACCCCTATTATTGACAATTTTACCTATTATGTCTGTTTGTTTTGTTCACATATCGTTGTCAATATAATGGAATTTTATGCGACTGTCATACAAGTGAGAGGTTTAGCTAGCTATAAAACCAGGTTTAATCCACCATTTTCTACATAAGAAAATACCTGTACCAAGTCAAGAATATGACAGTTGTTATCCATTCGTGTGATATGTTTGAGCTTTTGAGTTTGTCATTTGCTTAGGGACTTTCCGTTTAGAATTTTCCTCGGAGTTGGTATATTTGTTATTTTACTTTTTCCTATGTGTACAGAGTGATATCAACAAATTTAAATTATTTTTCACCTCTGTTCGACACCATAGAAGTCACTTTCATCGAACATATACGCCAACTGCAGATTGTTTGTACTCCTCTGTTCATGTTTCACCTTTTTGGAATTCACATTTAGATATGAGAAAGGATTAAGCTTCAATTGTACACTATATTAGTTTATATCAACGATATAGTTCCTAAAAAAATGTAACGGATAATAAAAAATGATTAATTTTTTAGAAATTTGCCTCCTTTTTCAACTTTTTTATGATACCATATCTGGCGCAATCCTCTCCAATTGACAAGTAGGTTGATAAGTAAAGAATATGGTATATAACGAATATTTCAGCTAGAATAATTGTGGGCGAGGGGCGATGCCAATGTTAATTTTTGGCCATCTGTCATAGATTTACCAATTTATGCAAAAATCAGGTTATCTAAATCACATAATGTATGGCGTCACAAATACATTACTAATGACACAATTGGTGAAAGTTTTGTTTTTGCATTTTAAAATTGTAACATATATTTTTATCAAATTTTCAAAACCTTATCGCTGTTAAAAACTAGCAGGTGTTTAGTGCAAAAATTATGAGCTAGTGTAAATGGATTAACTCAAATGATATATGGAACAATGTTCGAAGACTTTCGAAAAAAAAATAAGGAATCCCTTAGCAGCAATCTCATAAACTACAACTGTGTTATATATTTGCAAATTATAAACAGCAATTTTGTTAACAAAATGAAAACAAAAGAGAAATGTATACCAACTTAATTATTTATTGATGTGCTACCTATGTTTCAACAGGGATTATAAAATTATTAAAATATCACGTTATAAACTGTATGCTTCCAAAGCGCTTTTCTTGATTTTCTTGATTAACCTTCATCAGGAACGTTCGTAGCCAAATATAAGTACCGAGCTATATGACCAAAATGGATATGAAAATAACTGCTAAATCCATCTAACATGTCTAATATCATCTTAGTTTAAGAGAATTGGAACCATAGTTTCTTAATCATTTTTGGATTTATGAATAGGCAATAATAGAAAGGTATGTTAGCACTAAGTACTGAGCTGACGATACCATTGGCGACTAATAGTCCACGACCCAGTACTAGAACAAATGAAGAAAAAACACTTTATTAATTGCAAAATGTATGTGTCCGAATTTTTTTCCATAAATAAGTATTGTAGTTTATTTCAAACAATAAATAAATAAAATAGGTTTGATAGTAAATTATGACAATGATACATGTACACAAACAATAAAGTATAAAAAAATCAACTTGTAGGAAGCAATAATCGACCAATTGGAAATATAAAGTAGTCAGACACATTTCAGTACTTTCAACTGTAATGAATTATATATATTTAATTACACTTTCAGACAAAGATATCC